CGGGCCGGGAACGCCCGTATTATATTTCGAAGATGAATGATGATGATACCCGGGTAAGCATCATCAACATATATTGAGGCATTTCTCCCCGATTCGCCGAGACTGCCGGTAGGCGGGGAACGCCTGTCGCATTTACCTAAACCTAGCCCCTCTTATTGGCAGCTCGACGGGTTGGGATCACCCATGCAACCAAAATGTGCTTTTTAAAAGTGACCATTGACTGCACACATGATATCGTTCTCAACTCAATTCAGCTGTCCCTAAACAGCACCACAAGGAAAACGTTCTTCGAGTCACCACCTAGCGACTCGACTCTTCGGGTGAGTGGTCCAGGCGAACTTTCCAGACCTACCGCTACATCCATAATACTCTTCATACCCCTACTTTCTTGCAACTCAAATTTTGATGTAATTTACACGCCAGTATACCCATTATCTTTGCTAGTGGTATCAGCACCCACCCCTAATCCAGATTTCTCCCGAATAATACCTGTGCTTTTAAAGAATTGACCAAATCAAAGAGATCATTTCTAAGTCTGAGGTTTGCGTAGGTATTTGAAGTCTGGTACATACTACGAAAGTAAACTCATTCGTATGCTACTTGCCTACAACTAAAACAGCAAGTCAACTAACAGTCAAGTATATTAGACAACAACTAATTAAAAGTTAAGTGAATTGAAGAACACCTCAAGATAACAGGGATTCAAAGTAAACTCAAACCTAATCATGACCGAGTAACAGTGAAGCTTATTGAGAGTGAAGCTTATTGAAATTGAAATAAAAGTTAAATCAAGTCATGTTAAAGCTAAAGTCAATCGAACTGATGCCAAGCCTAAGCCTTATGTTGATATCACATTCTTAGTCTAAGCCACATCATCAAAGCGTTAACCTGGGAGTTAAACTTACAATCAGGTAACCCCATGAAGCAATCCAGCGCGTGATTGGTGAATATAGTTCAAGAAAGTTTAGGGAATTGAGAGGATATCAATGTTAAGAAAGTGAACTTGATGAAATGGAGTAATTCATGATTCTCGCATAACAATGCTCAGACCACGTTTCCGCCTCTCACTCTGGAGAAATCCAATCCCAATTAAGTCTGACGAAATTTACAATGGATTTCAATAACGGTAATACCATAACGTAATAAAAATGTCACAATTACGGACTACAACAACATAACAAATATTATCACACATCACAACATTTACAGAATACGAATATTTGCAAATGAACAATACTTACATCACAATACAACAATGCAATTATATTTACAAATAAATGAATAAATAATGTGTAAAACATGCAGAAAAGTTTATCCCTATGTTTGAATGAAATAAATTGAAAAATAAAATGATGCCATTATTCAATCTAACTGTAAGCTCATTTGTTCTGGTCCTACGTCAACCAAAAGTGTAACTTGAGAATGAAAACAAAAATACTGTTTAAAATCTTCCAACTGGCCTGGCGCTTTGGTGCGCTTATTGCTGAGCTGCAATAATAGGATAAGATATTGTCTTGCCGTGATACTTGTTGGATGTTACCACTCTTTGTTGTACTGGGTTGACTGATTCTTCTTCTGTATTGATAATTGCATTGTTTACCCTCTTGTGAGCCATCGAACAGCTCCTCACATGTTCACCTTCTTGCAGGGCTGTTGACCATTTTGCCCATCCGGATAGGCCTCGAAAGAATTCCAATTATTTTTTGAAATAATTAAAACAATGCAATAATTGGCTGGAATTTACTCACGTTATAAATCGTTCCTGCTACATCTTGTCTACTCGCCGTAACAGTCACTTCTTTCTTCTCGCCACCCTCTTGCGGGAGGCGTTCACCCCAGTCAAAGAGTGAGCTGATGACCACCGTCGCCAGCCGATTCCATCGTTCGGTCTCACCTAAGAACACAAACATTCAGTTCATTGGGGAATATCACGTTTCAACGAATATTGCACCATAACGAAATAAACCAAACGAATCACATTCCATCATAACCAAATCTAAACTGCAATCGGTTGATGACAGTCTAATGCCATCTAATACAACTCAATTAAGCACCGAGTACCATCAAATCTACTTGATAATGTGGTATTACCAAACCGAAAACACTTCTCAAAATCGGAAAGCTACGAACAATGAATGGGGACGAATGACTGGATAAGGGTGGATATAAGATGCGAAGCTTAGTTTGCCCCGTAGGGTGATGCAAAGTTTAGATCGCCTCGAAAGAACTCTTAAAAGCTGAAACATATTCTTACTGAGCTTCACTCAAGGCGCATGAGTAAATGATAATATGGCATAAAACAACAGCGTGATACAGTATATGAAACATGTCATTACTATAACGCGATAACTGTTCATAACTAAAACAATAATATTGAACCTCCTC